CTGCCCTGCCCTGCCCTGCCCTGCCCTGCCCTGCCCTGCTCGCAGCCCCCGGGCATCAGCCCCGGCTCCGATAAGGCCCTTCGCTAAAGAGGGCCGAGGTGGTGGGCGCCCCGGGGGAGGCGCAGCTGTGCGCGGGGCTCTGCGGAGCGGCCGGGAGGCGGCGAGAAGCTCCCCTGGGCGCGGGGAAGGGGGCGAGGAGCCGCCGCAGCACTGGGATTGCGGGGGGGGGGGTGTCTCTGCAGTGGCACCTGCTGCCAGTGTGGCCACGAGCCTGGTGCCCTGAGCCAGCCTAGGGCGAGACCCGGGGCGGGTACCGCGGGAGAGGGGCTGCTTGCGGGCACAGCACATGGGGACCCCGCCTCGACTGCGGACAGCAAACATCTCCCTTTGTTGCTCTGCCCGAGCTGTGCTCCTCAAACAAGACGGGGCTTCCCACTGCCCCCGGCCGGGCAGAGTCAGGACCGCCCCCCAGCTGACCTCCCCAGCAAAGCCGCCTCGGCGGGGGCTGCCTGGAGGGGCCGGCGGGTGACCCCGGGGGCGGAGGAGGCTAAGGCGGCGCCCCCGGGGAGCGCAGCTGCAGGAAACCCGGGCCAGGCTATTTTGGTGGCCCCCGGGGAGGGAGCGGGGATCTGCCGCCGGAGCCGTGCGGAGCTCCCGCAGCCCTCGACGCCAGCCCGGAGACGCTGGGCAGGAAGCCGCCCCGGCAGCAAGGTCAAGGGCGGGCGGCTAACGCGGGGCCCCCGCTGTTGTTCTCTCGCAAGGTTACAGCACGGTGGCGTTTGACGGGCCCCCGAGCTACGGCCACGCTCCCTCGCACCACGCCGCGCAGTTCTCCAACCACTCCTTCAAGCACGAGGACCCCATTGCTCAGCAGCCTCCCCTAGGTAACTCCCCGGCCCTGCCCGCCCCGCGCCCCTCGGCTCTGGCCCCGAAGCGATCCGGGCGGCGCGCGCTGCGGAGTCACTCCGGAGTCGGGGAAGGGGAGCGAGGGGGCGGCCCCCCCGCGCCCGGGGCTGGGGTGGGGGGCGGCGGAGCCCGGGCTGAGATCCGGCTAACCCTGTGCTCTCTCCGCAGGAGACCAGCAGTACTCCGTGCCCCCGCCGGTGTACGGCTGCCACACGCCCACGGACAGCTGCACGGGCAGCCAGGCCCTGCTCCTGCGGACCCCCTACAACAGGTAGGCCCCTGCCTGCGCGCCCCGGGAGCCGGGCACTGGCTTGAGCGGCGCCAGGTGGAGCCGGGCTGGACTGGAGGGACCTCGCTGGGCCGCGTGCCAAGCGACGGGGGGCCCCACCAGCGGGCCCGGGGGTGGCACTGATTGCAAGGGGGGTCGGCGAGGCTGGGTGAAGCGGGGCTGGACGGGGCAGGGCCTGGAGACGCTCCTCGACGGACGCTGCCCTGGATCCATGCCGCAGCCCCAGGCAGTGTAAGTGAGCCTGGAGGCGCCTTCCCGGTATTGTGGTTCTTGGCAGCAAGAGGCCTTCCCCTTCCCCTTCCCACTGCTGCTGCTGCCTGCTAGGCCGGCTGCTCTCGCTGCGCTATTTTCGGTGTCGTTGGCAGCGGTGAACCAGACCCCCCCAGCCCTCTCCACTGGCATGAGCGCGGATTAAAACGATGATCCTAGGATTAGGATGCTGAAGGAGGACTTCAGGCCCAGATCCTGCAGTCATCCGCGCCCATGCTTAGCTGGAAGGACTGCAGGTCTCCCGATGCGGGTGAAGGGGATCCAGTCTCCTGCTGTTGCGTGGAGACTCCGCAAACAAAAGCATTGCGTTGCAGGCTCCGATCCTACCGCTCCCAGCGAGGGGCTCCCCTGAGCCAGCCCGGCGGGGGTGGGGGGGGATCCCTAGCGATTTTTTCCCCAGACTGATCCCGACTGCAGTCGATTTCCAGAGCTCTGCCCTCGCAGAAAGGGACTGCGGGTGTTGTGGGAGAATCGCTGCTCACTTGCAGAGAGCATCAGCAACGCCTGCCAAAATAGCTGTAATCTCAGAAACAGAGTTAAAAAGCAGCCCACACTGCGGCTTTGCATTGCGAACGGAAACAGTTTCTTCAGGCTCCCTAGTAAGATACATTTTAACAGCGGGATTTTAAATATGCAAAGAATAAAAACATAAGATGGGTGAAAGCCATCCCCGCTTTGCTCCCGATCAGTGCAAGCAGGTATCTTGTCTCCTGTCTTGTCTTAGATAGAGGACCTTTCCCAATAGCTATTTTCCTTGTACGTAAGCTTGGCACGGGGGCCGGGTGGGGCTGCTACAGTTTTGCAATGTGTTCACCGAGCAAAGAAGTTCCCCCAAATTTATTCCTCAACTTTTTGTGAACTTGGAGCCCGTCCCGCATCTCGGAGTTGCTAAGTAACTTCTGCACACAAAACAATGTGCCTCTGCAAAGGAAGTTGCCACTGGCCTTTCTTATAGGCTGGTTATATCATCTTCGATTAATCAACACTGGACGTGGGACAACAAAATTGTGTCACTTCCAGAAGCCACTTCGCTAATGAACGTGAGTTGACGTCAAGGGAAGGAGGGAATGAGGTAATGAAGGAAGGAAAGAAGCCTATCCAGAGAGATTAGTTGTGGAATAATTGGCGAGGAGAATTCCTTCGTGCAGTGGACACAGACCTCGCAGGGAAGTCTATAAATACGAGTTGTCGGGAGGCTTTTCCAGGGGATCAAAATGACTGTGACTCTAAAACTGCGGGCAGCTCAGCACCCAGGGGGTTCTCCCTAAGCAGCTCACAAGATCCCCGGGGATCTCAGCTAACCGGGGGCTTTCTGTCCTTTTGAACTAAATACGTGCCTGTAGGCGACTTAAATCCAAAGTACACCGGATTAGACTTTACCGGGGACGTTATTTTGTTTGCTCGGCCCATAGAGCAGGAGCCTGGCTACAGAACTAGCAGGACACAAGCTACAGAAGAGGCTACATTTTGAGACATCTTTCTCCGATAGCTCGTACAACCAGGGTCAGATTTTTTATCTGAACGGCCGTTTCTTAAACTGTTTGCAGCCCAGCACTTGAGTTTGGTCACAGCTTTCTGTGGCTAGATCGGGGAAAATTGTCACGTCTGTCTGCACCAGCCGGCTAGCCAGAAACCATCTCTGCATTTAGAAAAGGTCTCTCTCCCCGAGCTATTTTAACAAGGGCGGCTTCCTCCTAGGGCACTTGCTTTGAATAGTTGTCGCCTTGCATTAAGCATTTACTGAGAGTCCCCCTCCCCGCAAATTAAGATCACGGAGAAAGATCCCTTGCCCCCGCAGAAGAGCCGATACCAAGCCTCCCGGCGCGGCAGCGCGTCCCAGCGGGGGACTGGAGCGAGCAGAGCCTGAAGGATACTTTTTGTGCTGCCTCTGGTGCAGTTTTTTTTTTCTTTTAAATTTGCACTAATGATGTTTAATGAAGCAAGCCCGGCACTTTGATAGGCGCGTTCCGGGAGGACAGGGGAGAGCTGTGGCATGCTCTGGGACTCCAACAGGAGGTCCCTGCTTTCCACCTCCGCGCTGGCCGGGCTGTAGGCATCGCTGGGTGGCACTTCCCGCCAGGACTGCGGCGTTTCGCTCCGGGCTCTGCAATGAGAGCCTCGCCTGCTCGCGGCTCCGGGGCTCCGTGCCCAGCTCGCAGTGCGGCCTGCCGCGACTTCCCCTGGCCTGAGCCGGGACCCTGCGCTCGCTGTAGCCACTGGGAGTTTTCCCGCTGACTTCAGAGGGATCAGACCCTTAAACCCCGCTGGAGCCAGCAGCTATGGGTAGCCGTGTAAATCGGGGCAGGACTTGTCCCCTCTGCAAGCTTTGCGGACAAACAGGTGGGCGAGCTCCAGTCTCGCCGCTCCTCTTACAGGTGTAGATTTTAAGCTACCCCTTGTGTGAAAGGGCTGTTCTCTAATGCTAGCCTTTTCCCTGCACGTTTAGCTCTCCCCCCCGCAAGACAAAGGGGTGACTAAAGATGTGCGGGGTTGGCTTTTCCCTCTTAAACCAGTTTGTAATAATGACCTGCTGCTCGGCAGAAGATCTTTGGAGAACGAAATTTCTTGGGTTTTTTTATAATCTTCCCCCCCCCCC